AGATATCACAAAGAGGATAGATTGGAGGTATATCTTGCAAGTAGAATAGACTAGATTTTGCTGATGTATTAAAAAGGAGGCTAGGTGGGTTTTTAACTAAGAACTGTATGAGAATAGGAGAGAGGCGGGGAAATATTTCAATTCACATGTCTCAAGTTTGAAGTACCTGTGGGATACCTGAGCTATGATAGATTTGGGAATCATCAGAACACACACAGTGAACGATGCCAAGGAAGTAGATCTGATCACCAAGGGCAAGAGGAGGAGAAGGCAGACTGTAAACGGTAGGCAGAGAAAAAGAGATTTAGAAGGTAAGTGAGAAGAATTAGCTAGTGAGAGAAGAAGAAAATCGAGAGGATTTGGTCTTAGGAGTGAAAGAAAGGGATTATTTCAAGGAGGGAGTGGCTGGCAGTATACTAGGGCTATTCTTAGTAAACATGGGTTGGTGACCTTAACAAAGAGCAATTTTAATGTGGTAGGGGTCTGTCAGTTTGCAGCAGGTTGAAGAGTAAATAAGGGTAAGGACCTCAAGAGAGTAATACAAAAAACCCTTCTAATAAGCTGGATGATGAAGGAGAGATGAGGGAGTGGACAGAGATATCAGAGGGGCTCCTCATAATTGTATATGACTAGATCACAACTAAATGACTTTGCAACCTTAAGATCCCAAGAGGGCATTATCCGAGAACGGTACCCCGATTCAATAAAATCCAAAAAACATTTATCATTGTTTTATGTCACTGATATGAATATATTTGATGTCTAAACTTTCAAAGCTCAACAACAAATGTTTATCTAATTCAAAACTCACACTGGGGAGGGGAGGCAAGGGAGCATGTTAGCATGCTCTTCACAGTCTATAAAGAAAAACTGGCCAGGTGTGGTGGCTTACACTTGTAATCCCAGCACTCTGGGAGGCCAAGTTGGGTGAATCATTTGAGGTTAGGAGTTTAATATGGTGATACCCTGTCTCTATTAAAAATACAGAAATCAGCCAGGCGTGGTGGCAGGTCCCTGTAATCCCAGCCACTCTGGAGGCTGAGGCAGGAGAATTGCTTGAACCTGGGATGCGGAGGTTGCAGTGAGCTGAGATCATGCCATTGCACTCCAGCCTGGGTGACAGAGCAAGACTCCGTCTCAAAAAAAAAAAAAAAAAAAAAAAAAAAAAAGAAACATTAACAGTAGAGTAAAAATCGGCCCAAGACAGATTATGGGCTAACTGATATAAACACAGTAAGATATTGTTAACATGATTTGAGACATTCTATTAAAGTTTCAACTGAAAGATCAACCGAAATTTGTACTAGAACCCTGTGATTATAATAAAGAAAAAAGTAAATATTTAGAAAGGGTACCTTTCTCTTCTTTCAGCAGGGCCCTCTCCAAAAAGTGTGATAGGCTCCCCCAAGGCTCTAAGGCAAGCCTTGACCTCTGAGTCATCTGTGGAGACATTGATCTGCCGGGCTCGCTTCCTTCTCTCAAACTCAGCCAATACTTCTGCCTGTCGCTCACTGATGTGCTCTTCAATCTCAAACACTTCTCCTATTAAAAAGAAAACAGGCAACATCAGCAGATCTTCTTCTGATAGAGAAAGAAATAATTTCTAGTAACCGCAGTCTTTGTGTGCCCTGAGGGAAAGGTAATTGTCTAATATAGTACACATTTTATACTTTACTGTTTTTCAGTTTATTAAATTATGCCAAACACCTAAATCTAAATGACACAGCTTCAAAAGGGAGGAAAATGGTTCAAGCCACCTCTTGTTTCATTTATTAACTTTACACCTATATAAACACACACCTTGGTTGAGACCAGAAAGTAAGAGTACAGAACATCTTTTGCAAATGAGTTAACTAGGCTGTCTTTCTAGAAGATGTAATAGAAACATTATTGTAACAGTGGCCAAAAATATTTATTCTCTAAAGCAGTCCTGGTATAGGAATACTTAACAAATAATTAACTAGGAAACTGGAAATAATTACACTGAAAATGAGAGTTTCACAACAATAAGGATTTCTGGATAATCTAGCAATAGTTTTTGAAACTCATACCAAAATACAAGTGTGATAAAAAACGAGAGGTACAGTGGTGATGTTCTGTTTAAAAACAACATAAAAAGTTAAAAAAGTTGGCCAGGTGCGGTGGCTGATGCCTGTAATCCCAGCACTTTGGAAGGCTAAGGCGGGTAGATCATGAGGTCTGGAGATAGAGATCATCCTGGCTAACACAGTGAAACCTTGTCTCTACTAAAAATACAAAAAGGGCTGGGCGCGGTGGCTCACGCCTGTAATCCCAGCACTTTGGGAGGCCGAGGCGGGTGGATCATGAGGTCAAGAGATCGAGACCATCCTGGTCAACATGGTGAAATCCCGTCTCTACTAAAAATACAAAAAATTAGCTGGGCATGGTGGCGCGTGCCTGTAATCTCAGCTACTCAGGAGGCTGAGGCAGGAGAATTGCCTGAACCCAGGAGGCGGAGGTTGCGGTGAGCCGAGATCGCGCCATTGCACTCCAGCCTGGGTAACAAGAGCGAAACTCCGTCTCAAAAAAAAAAAAAAAATACAAAAAGTTAGCTGGGCATGGTGGCACGTGCCTGTAGTCCCAGCTACTGGGGAGGCTGAGACAGGAGAATCGCTTGAACCCCGGAGACGGAGGTTGCAGTGAGCCAAGATTGTGCCACTGCACTCCAGCCTGGGTGACAGAGCAAGACTCCATCTCAAAAAAAAAAAAAAAAAGTTTAAAAAGTCACTAGGCTATAGTGCATGTGTTTAGAAAAGAAAATGTGTAAGAGGATCACTGAGAAACTTGACTGATGCCCTACTGCACAGGAGTCTTCACTTTATGCACTTTGGTATTGTCTGAATTTCTTATGACAAATATGCATCATTTTATTTAAAAAATATAGTGGACCTCACATTACTGACATGGAAAGATATCCTCAATGGTATATAAAATGAAAAATGCAGGTTATTCAACAATTTATATATATCATGTCTTCATTTAGGGAAAAAATTACCTATTTTTATATCTGTATTAAAATTCTCAGAAGATATACAACCAATTAATTAAAAAATACAGGATTTTCTACTTCACACACTCATACATTGTTTGATCTAGTAAAAGAAAAATAACAATTACTTTTTTTTTTTTTTTGAGTAGGGTCTTGCTGTGTTGTTCAGGCTGAAGTGCAGTGGCACAATCATGGCTCACTGCAGTCTCGACCTCCCATCTTAGAACCCCAATTAGCTGGGAATACACGCACGTGTCATGCCTGGCTAATTTTCTACTTTTTGCAGAGATGGGGTATCACTATTTGCCCAAGCTGGTCTCAAATTCCTGGGCTCAAGCCATCCTCCCACCTCTCAGCCTCCCAAAGTGCTGGGATTACAGGTGAGCCACTGGGCTTGGCCACTATTACTTTTATAACAAAAAAAGAGATCTCCGCCAGGTGTGATTGCTCACATCTGTAATCCCAGCACTTTGGGAGGCCGAGGTGGGTGGATCATGAGGTCAGGAGTTGGGACCAGCCTGGGCAACATGGTGAAACCCCATCTCTACTAAAAATACAAAAATTAGCTGGGTGTGGTCGCGCACGCCTGTAATCCCAGCTACTCAGGAGGCTGAGGCAGGAGAACTGCTTGAACCTGGGAGGTGGAGGTTGCAGTGAGCCGAGATCGCGCCACTGTACTCCAGCCTGGGTGACAGGATGAGACTCTACCTCAAAAACAAAAACAAAAACAAAACACAAGAATTGAAATTTTTTGACATTATAATACTGGTGATATTTAAGTTTAGGAAGGTATTCATTACATCAAGAGGTAAAGATGGGCTCACAATTTGCATCTTACCAGAGGTTATATTTATATTTCCAGCTTCGATTCCTGCTTTAAGTCCTTCTTTCCCCAAAATCCCAGACTCTCCTTTGGCCAGACGCTCCCTCTCCTTCTCTTCCAAACTTCCATAATAGATGTGTGGCTTCTTCACAACCGGGGCAACTAAGTCATCAGGCGCTTTAGTTTTGGTTGCCTGCTAAATCAAAGATCTGAATTAAACTAAGGCTTAACCTTAACAATTTACCGGACTTCCCCAGAGGACGAAGCTCACCCTGAGTTTCTCAGTCCTACTTCCTCCGTAATTGAAAGGACAAACTGGACACTGCTTAAGATGTTCTTCATTGATTTGAGGAGATGAGGGTAGGGGGAGGGTGTTTCAGTCCCTCACTTTGGTTGACAGGATTGATAAAACTAGCGAGGTTCTCTCGGGTATTTTTCTATCAAAGGTTTGCTCTGGAATCTGTACTTCATTCTGTTGGAAGTGTGCAATCTCGTGTTTTACAATGCTTCCAGGGTTACCGCTCATCACTGGGGAAATACCAAGGATAGACGAAATAACCAACGCGGTGCTAAAGAGGAACAAGTTACAAGATTACTAGTGTATATATTTCAAACGTTTCTAGACGTGGGGCAGTAGGAGTTAGGAGGTCTCATTAAAATTCTGAGATCTGCCAAAGGCATAAACCTTGGCCAAGACACTTCCCTATTTCTGAGCACCGTTACTGGATCAGTCGGAAGAGATGTTTGCCCTTCGGGGATGTAGTAGGAAACGTGCAAATAAGCTATAGTCCACGAAAGCGCTTAGGGATCAGGAAAACTGTGCTCCGCTGTCTAGGACACGACTGAGTCCCACAGCCTTCCTCCTCAGCCCTCCACCGCCTTCTCCCGTTCCCTAACGGCCCCTTCCCGCAAGGACCCCTTCCCCCTTCGCGCTTCCTGCCAGAGTGAGCTGAGATCCCGGGCTCTGTACCGTGGAGGAAGCTCGTGAGGAAGCCATGCTGGGCTCTGGAGAAAAGCTCCAGCGAAACCCGAGCTCTCCGATTCGGACCGTCCACGGCGCGCCCAGGAGAGCGGATGGGCATCATCCGACCGGAAGTGCGTCACCGACCGGACGTGTGTCGAGAGCCGTCGCCACGCTCGGAGCGGCGCGGAGCATGATGGAAGTCGTAGTAGGAAGCGGTGTGATCGTATTGACTGGCATGTCTCCTAGAACCTGTGAGAAAGCTCGCGCAAGACGAGGTTCTGCTGAGAGAGAGGCTCCAAGTAGTCTGGGAAGTGTAGTCCAGTTGGTTTACCAGTAGTTTCGTTGGGGGAGCGGAGGTTCCGGGAAGGGGCTGAACAGGCTTGAAAAGAGGTAGGTGCGTCGCGTCGCGCGACTCGGGGCTGAACTCTGGAGCGAGTCGAGGACTTCCGGGGTCCGCTGTGCCCCCCGGGCCTACCGGAGCGTTTAAGTCTTCCTGGAGCCGAAGACCTTGTTACCATGGAAACCCTCGCCAGGGATCCGAGGTACAGGCCTGGAGCTAGGGGACAAGGGCTGTTTTCCTCCACGGTCCGGAAGTCTTCTTTGGGGCCACCTCTGAGCTTGATGGCTCCGCGGTGGATTTAGGCTGCGGCGAGAGTTTAAGCTAAAAGAGCCCTCTAGTGCCAAAGTCAAATAAAGACCCGGCGGAGGAGTTTCGGCCTGATTTTGTTGATTTGTATTCAGCCGGTCGTTGTATCAGATTGAGAGTAAGACGACGGATAGGAAGGTGTCAGGTAGCTCTGTACGTCCCTGTGCCCTGCTGGATGCTGGGGCATTAGAGACAAGATAAGTTTTTTTTTTCTTTTGAGACGGAGTCTCACTGTCGCTCAGTCGCTCAGGCTGGGAGTGCAGTGGCGCGATCTCGGCTCAGTGCAACCTTCGGCCCCCCCCCCACCACCCTGGGTCAAGCGATTCTCCTGCCTCAGCCTCCCGATTAGGTGGGATTACCACCACCGGCCACCGCGCCCGGCTAATTTTTGCATTTTTAGTAGAGACGGAGTTTCACCATCTTGGCCAGAGTGATCTTAAACTCCTGACCTCGTGATCCACCCGCCTCGGCTTCCCAAAGTGCTGGGATTACAGGAGCGAGCCACCGCACCCGGCCAGGATAAGGCTTTCATCCCCACGTGGGCGGTGGAAGATTCTCAAAATATTGACGTTTCCCTAGCTGACCAGATCCCCATCCAACCCCCTAGAAAAATTATAGTTATAATAGATGTTATTTACTGAACATTTTTTAAATGCAAAATTATGTTCCAAGAGCTTACTCTGCATTTATGTTATTCACCTACAATAGCAGAGTAGGTTACAGATGAGGAAACTAAGGTCTAGTGAGAGATGAAACTAATTGTTCAAGATCAGTGGTGTAGTGGGATTAACCCCTACAGCCACACTTTTGACTGTTGCTTCCTAGTGGAGAGTTTTTCCCAGTTTGCAGAAAAGGTAAAATGTGTAGCAGATTTTTTTTTTTTTTTGAGACGGACTCTTGCTCTGTCACCCAGGCTGGAGTGCAGTGGCACGATCTTGGCTCACTGCAACCTCCGCCTCCCGGGTTCAAGCGATTCTCCTGCCTCAGCCTCCTGAGTAGCTGGGATTACAGGCGCCCGTCACCACGCCTGGCTAATTTTTGTATTTTTAGTAGAGACGGGGTTTCACCATGTTGGTCAGGCTGGTTTCAGACTCCTGACCTTCTGATCTGCCCGCCTCGGCCTCCCGAAGTGCTGGGATTGCAGGTGTGAGCCACCGTGCCCGGCCCTTACTGACTGTTTTTATGGATACGCTCTAGGGGATTTTAGGGGATGCTGTGGAGAATATACAAGTGATGCCATCAACAAATATTAAACTCAATTGGGGGAGTTGTGTTTTCTCAAAAAACAAACAAAACACAAAACAGCTTTTATTAACCTTTACTTTGGGATTTCAGGCTGTGGAATGCTCTCTTGAGCCTGGTTTTTGTTTTGTTTTGTTTTGTTTTTTTTGAGTTGGGGGTCTTATGGTGAGATCGTGGCTCACTGTGGCAACCTCAAACTCCTGGACTCAAGTGGATCCTTCCATTTCAGCCTCCTGAGTAGCTAAGACTACAGGCACACACTACCAGCCCAGCTAATTTTTTTTACTTTTTTGTGGAGACAGGGTCTTGCTATGTTTCCAAAGCCGGACTTGAGCCTCCTTTGTGCACTCTTCTCTGTGCCTGCCCTTCGGAGTCAACTAAGACATCATTTTCTCCAGGAAGGCTTGCCTGACATCCTTGTCCACCCCACACTCAGCCCAGACTGGATTAGGTGCCCGTGTGACGCCAGTGCCTTACCCTCATCAGAGTTTTCATTATGCAATATCACAGCTTTCTCTTTGTTTTCTCCACAGATTATGACTGTACCTTTTAACTTTGTAGCTGGAGCACAAGAAGTATTTGTTTAATGAATGACGGACACATTTAGGCTCTGTTTAAACGCTGAGAATAATCCTGTGAATTGGTGAGTTGGCGTTTTCATGAGATTTAGCAAACTGATTCTGGCATTCAGGAGTGATCACAAATCTCTGACAGTCCTCATGTAGATTAAATTCAGCGGTTTGTCCACTTTCCCCACTATACTAAGTTAAGATGTGACAGTTTATTCTTTTAGCTAGAATATTTCTTTGAATGTGACTGGAACATGAAATTAAAGTGATGTTGCCTGGAATTTCTCTCTTATAGGCAGTTTGCTATTTTAAATTCTCACAGAAAGAGTTTTTTGATTTTTCAGAGTTGTGGATCTCCATAATCTATTAAAAATGTAATAAAGAAAAAAAAAAAAGACTTAAGAAGTCACTGGGTGCAGTGGCTCTCGCCTATAATGCCAGCACTTTGGGAGGATGAGGAGGGAGGAACACCTGAGCCCACGAGTTTGAGACTAGCCTGGGCATCAGAGAGAAATCCCATTTCGACAAAAAAACACAAAAATTAGCCAAGTGTGGTGGTGTACACCTGAGTTTGAGCTACTCAGGAGGCTGACACAGTAAGATTGCTTGAGTGCAGTAAGTTGAAGCTGCAGTGAGCTAAGGTCATGCCACTGCACACCAGCCTGGGCAAAGAGCAGACCCTATCTCTTTAAAAAAAAAAAAAAGGACTTTAGAAGTCTATGTGTAAATTCAAATGAATTTTTAATACTTGAATTCACTTTAATATACATGCTTGCAAATTGATTTTATGTTTATACCTGAAACTTTATCACCTTCAGTTTTTCCTCCTCTGCCATTTTCAACAGCTAATAGTTCACTGGGTTTGGCCCTTAGTGTTGACTTCAATATGCTGAGACGAAAACCAACACGCCTAGAGCTAAAGCTCGATGACATTGATGAGTTTGAGAGCATTCGAAAGGACCTGGAGGTATGAATACAACTTTGTTTTTTTTTTTTTTTTTTTTTTTTTTAAAGACAAAGTCTTGCTCTGTCACACAGGCTGGAGAGCAGTGGCATGATCTTGGCTCACTGCAACCTCTGCCTCCTCAGCCTCCCGAGTAGCTGGGACTATAGGCGCGTGCCGCCATGCCTGGCTAATTTTTGTATTCTTAGTAGAGATGGGATTTTGCCATGTTGGCCAGGCTGATCTCCAACTTCTGACCTCAAGTGATCCATTCGCTTCAGCCTCCCAAAGTGCCGGAATTACACACGTGAGCCACTGTGCCCAGCCATGGATACAACTTTCTTTCTTCTTTTTTTTTTTTTTTTTTTTTTTGAGATGGAGTCTTGATTTCTAAAACGAATCTTGCTCTTGTCACCCAGGCTGGAGTGCAGTGGTGTGATCTCAGCTCACTGCAACCTCCGCTTCCTGCATTCAAGCTGTTCTCCTGCCTTAGCCTCCGGAGTAGTGGGGATTACAGGCACCCGCCATCACACCCGGCTAATTTTTGTACTTTTAGTAGAGATGGGGTTTCACCATGTTGGCCAGGCTGGTTTCAAACTCCTGACCTCAGGTGATCTGCCTGCCTCAGCCTCCCAAAGTGCTAGGATTACAGGTGTTAGTCGCCATGCCCAGCTGGATACAACTTTCAAAGCTTTAGGAATATTTATGACAATAACTCTTGGGTGGGTACAGTGGCTAACATCTGTAATGCCAGCACTTTCTGGCCAGGAGTTTGAGACCAGTCTCGGCACATAGTGAGACCTCGTCTCTATAAAATATTAAAACAATTTGTTTTAAAGCTGGACAGGGTGGCACATGCCTGTAGTCTTAGCTACTCAAGAGGCTGAGGCAGGAGGATTGCTGAGCCCACGAATTTGAGGTTATAGTGTGCTGTGATTGCACTGTACTCCAGACTGGGCAACAGAATGAGACTCTGTGTCATACATAAATACGTACATACACACACATACGTACACAATAACTTGAACTTCTGAACATACACATTAACTTTAACTTCTGAACTTCAGACTCTTAAACCAACAGCTTATTTGAAATCTCTGTTTGGATGCTTTACAGGCATCTCAAACTTCATGTATGTTTCCTTTTTTTTTTTTTAAAGATGGGGTTTCACCATATTGATCAGGCTAGTCTCGAACTCCTGACCTCAGGTGATCCACCCACCTCAGCCTCCCAAAGTGCTGGGATTATTGGCGTGAGCCACCGCGCCTGGCTCATATATATTTCATGTGGCTGCTGTAACAAAGTACTTCAAACCTTGTGTTTTAAGACGACAGAAATTTTTTCTTTCACAGTTTTGTAGGCCAGAAATTAGTATTGCTGGGCTGAAATCAAGGTGTCAGGGGGGCCACATTCCCTATGGTGGATCTAGGAAGAATCCATTCCTTGGCTCTTCTAGCTTTTGGTGGCTGCTGGCATTCCTTGACTTGTGACCACATCACTCCAGTCTCTGCCTCCAGAGTCATACTGTCTTCTCTTCTGTCTGTGAAAACTTCCTCTGCCTCCTTCTTATAAGGAGATATGTGATTGTGTTTAGGGCCCACCTGGCTAACCCAGGATAATCCCCCGCAGTCCCAAGGTCCTTAATTTAGTTGCACCTGCAAAGGCCCTTTTTCCATATAAGGCAACATTTATAGGCTTCAGGATTAGGACCTGCTAGCTTTGGGAGCCATTTTTCAGCCTGCTATAGTTAACATGTTAGAAAAGAAGAAAACTCTTGATTTCTCCTTCGAACCAGTCATCCCCTCCATTCTTCCCCGTTTCCCATCTCAGTATCTATTAAATTCCTCAGGCCAGAAACCTAGCACTCATTCCTGAGTCCTCCCTTTCTCTTACCGTTTGTGTTAGATCTGTCTGTAAACCGTTTGATGCTACCTCCAGAATATGTCTAGAATCTACCCATACCTTTTCATCTCCACTGTTATAGTCCTACTCTAAGTAATCGTCTTTCCCTGTATAATTTTAGAAGCATCCTAACTGGTCTTCTACTTCCGTTTTTGTCTCTTCAGTGCGTTCTGCATTCGGTATCAAGAAAGATCTTCAAAAATTTTCAAATCCTGTCATTCCCATTTAAAACTCCTCAGTGGTGTCCTGCATTTAGAATGAAATCTGAATTCCTTACCATGGCCTACAAGATTTTATATGTTCTAGCACCTCTTGAGATTCATTTTGTGCCATTCTTTGCCTTGCCCTTTATACCCTAGCCACACTGGCTCTCTTTTGTTTCCTTGAACATGCCAAACCAAACTATTTATCACTTCCATGGACTTTACACATACTATTTTCCCCTGCCTGGAGTGCTCTCTTTCTTTCAGTCTTTGTTTTTTTTTTTTTTTTTGAGACGGAGTGTCACTCATGTTACCCAGGCTGGAGTGCAATGGCGCGATCTCGGCTCACCGCAACCTCCGCCTCCTGGGTTCAGGCAATTCTCCTGCCTCAGCCTCCTGAGTAGCTGGGATTACAGGCACACACCACCATGCCCAGCTAATTTTTTGTATTTTTAGTAGAGACAGTCTTTGTTTAAATGTCAGCTCTTCAATTTAAGGGGCCTCTTTTGACCGTATTCAGGTTAGATGTGTCATTCCCGTCCATGCTGCCTCCATCTCTGTAGGCTCTCACGAAGTACCATATTTTTTTTTTCATAGCATTTATTATAATTTACAATTATTTATTTATTGTTAAGTCATTTACATTAGGAAGATTGATTGCAGAAATCATGTCTGTTTACTTCACCATTGAGTTCCTAGCCTCTAGCACGTAGTAGGAGCTTTATATGTATTTTTAAGTGTGGCCTTACTACACAGTATTAGATGTCCATTAATAAGACTTGAAATCTTCAGTGGCCTACAGAGTAAATTCCAAATTCCCTAGCATGGCATATGAGGTCCTTTGTGACCTGGTCCATGCTTCTCTCTCCACTTTACACTGCTGGCTTATCTTTAATCTCAATGCCTATACACAGTGTTCCCTTTGCCAGAAAAGTCCTTTCTTTTTTCTTTGCCAGGCTAACTCTTAGTCCTTCCAGCCCTCAGCTGGGTTAGGTTCAGCCTCATCCTCCTGTGCTAACCTCTCTCAGACACTGTCACTGTCTGTTGTAATTGTCTGTTTGATTTTGTTTTCCCTCCCTGGGCCATAAGTTCCTTGAAGTCAGGGATTAGTATATTTCTTTCTGCATCTGTTCCCTGCAAAACCAGGCCCAAAGGAGGGTTCAATGCAAGTCTATTTTCATTTCCTATCCTAGTAGATATGTTTTACCCATGTTAGAGAACAGGACATTTTGCATGCATTCACCAACAGCCTTATTATGTATTGTATATTCTTCATATTAAGACTAATAACTGCCGGGCGCGGTGGCTCAAGCCTGTAATCCCAGCACTGTGGGAGGCCGAGGCGGGTGGATCACGAGGTCAAGAGATCGAGACCATCCTGGTCAACATGGTGAAACCCCGCCTCTACTAAAAATACAAAAAATTAGCTGGACATGGTGGCGCGTGCCTGTAATCCCAGCGACTCAGGAGGCTGGGGCAGGAGAATTGCCTGAACCCGGGAGGCGGAGGTTGCGGTGAGCCGAGATCGCGCCATTGCACTCCAGCCTGGGTAACAAGAGCGAAACTCCGTCTCAAAAAAAAAAAAAAAAAAAAAAAAAAAGACTAATAACTTTGATTTCTTTCCCCCTGCTTCATCCCAAGAGACTTTAGTGTTCTCGAAACTCATAGTTTTTGCTTTTTAAAAACTTTTATCAAGGATAAGCTTTAAAGTATGGCTTACACTTCAGTTGTAATGAATCTCATAAAATGCTAGCATGCTGAACTTTGACTCTACAGAGTCAGCTCACTATTAAGTTGACATTGCCTTTCCACTAAAGACAATTATCTAGTGGGTTTGCTCTGTTTTAGAGTAACTTAGAAAGCAGGGATAGTCATGCCCTAAACTACGATGAAACCAATAAAAAACTGGCCTGTTTCATTTATTACCAACATGAGTTTGATTAGACTACCGTGACTCGAGCTTCTGAAACAGCAGTTGCTCAAAGTGGGAAGCCAGTGATTTCATTCTATTTGGATAGTCTCAGAATGATAAGAGTCTTTTGCCTTTTAGAACTTGTTTTCACAAAGGTATTTAGGTAGAACTTCCTAACATCACTTACTAGTAGTGTAGATTAACTAGAGAGTAATCAGGAAGGTCATTCGCCACGTAAAAGGCAATACCTTATTTTATTCACTGTAATACTTTGAATGTTGGCATTTATTATATTTTTTATTTTTGTTTTTGAGACAGGGTCTTGCTCTGTTGCTTTGGCTGGAGTACAGTGGCATGATCACAGCTCACTGCAGCCTTGACCTGCCAGGCTGAGGTGATCTTACTACCTCAGGCCCCCTGAATAATTGGGAATACAGGCATGTACCACTATGTCTGGCTAATTTTTAAATTTTTTGTGGAGACAGATGGAGTCTCACTATGTTGCCCATGCTAGTGTCAAACTCCTGGGCTCAAGCGATTCTCCCACCTTGGCCTCCCAAAGCACTGGGATTTACAGGCATGAGCCACTGTGCTCAGCCTGATTTTGGCATTTAAATGCTCACAGTTCTGCAGCAAGTGGTGAAGCATGGTGATAATTCCAGTGATTTGAGTAGCTGAGCCATTCTTCTATGAATATTAAGGAGCTTTGGATAAAACATCATTTCACTCTCTTAGAGAAAGTTATCATGTGTTATCCTTACAGTCAGGTAGTGGTAGTTACGGGCTAAATGTCTCTTTTTGAAAATGATCAAACTAAGACATACTTTGTGGATTTTGCAGTCACATGTGATTTAAGAGCCAAACCTTTTATTTGAAAACAAAATGAAGGCCCAAAACTCAGACCTTTTGATAAGTTAGCATAAAACCTTCTCATGTATCTCATGGAAATCAATCAGGCTATAGAATTTTGGTGGTTATTTCTTTACCACCAAAAATCTTTACCACTTCTTTTTTGGTCTGTTCTCTAGAATAATACATTTGTTGAAATACCCTTTGCTTCCCCTTGTCTGCTAACGCTTACATCTTTCCAATTGGAGCTTCCTGTTGTACCACACCCCTAGCTCCTCACCTCTTGTCTCTTTGGCAGTGTGGACTTCCTCTGTCGTAGGTCATAGCCCTAATCACCCTATAATTGTCTATTTGCCTGTTTCCCCATTAGACTGTGACATCCTGGAGGGTAAGGGTTACATCTTTTATCACCGTATCCTCACTGTGCCCTAACTATTCCGAACCTAGGATTTCAGTTTGTTGTTCTTCTCACCTTAACTCTGTTGTTTACTCCATGCCTAGTACATGGTAGGTGCTCTAAATAAACATTTGCTAATTGAAAGAATGTTACCTTAATCCTAAAACTTTTATACTTTCAGACCCGTAAGAAACAGAAGGAAGATGTGGAAGTCATAGGAGGCAGTGATGGAGAAGGAGCCATTGGGCTCAGCAGTGATCCCAAGAGCCGGGAGCAAATGATCAATGATCGGATTGGTTATAAACCCCAACCCAAGCCCAATAATCGTTCATCTCAATTTGGAAGTCTTGAATTTTAGAGATGGATTATCTTGCATGCCAGAGCCATGGAATGGAATAAAATGATGGCAGAAGTACAAACCAGATTTAGAGAATTGAGTGCTTGCAGTCAAGCAGAATGTCAGAGATAACTGCTTCTGCATGAGATTACTGATGCTTAACTAGCACTCTAAGCTGGAATCCAGACTCTGGTTTGTCTCTGGAAACTTTGATTCTATAAAACTGATCTGATTTTTTGCTTTTAAAAATAAATATATTTTTGGAAAAATATAAGGCATCCTTAATGAAGTATAACAGGTATAACAGTGCAGTTAACCCCCAGAGTTTAAAAGGTAATTGCTATAAGATGTAACATCATTCTTTCCATCTTTATTAAAAGACCGTAAGCACAGGACACTCTAGTTGATCCCGGACACTTGGATTTAACCCATCTATTCAACAAGTATTTATTGAGTTCCTACTATGTGCTACTCAAAGATCCCTGCCCTTGTAGAAATTAAATTCTAGTGATATTGCGTAAATCTGAAGAAATCGTAGGTACCAGATCTCTTTACAGAATGGCGTTGTAACTAGTTTGGGTACAACGTTGGGAGGACAGGCAATGGAGGGAATATGAGGAATGCTTCTGATAGTTTATCATTATTCCAACTTTCCTTCCTTTCTCAACTTGCTTAAGAATTTTTCCCAGAAAGAACCAATCTGAGAGGCAGCTCAGAGGATAATTTTGAATCATGCCCTATTGTTTTGAAGTTAAACAAATTTCTTAAATAATTTTTATTGTTTTATGTGGAGACAAGGATCTATGTTGCCCAAGCTGGGCTCGAGCTCCTGGCATCAAGCAGTCCTTCCAAATTGCTGGGATTACTGTGCCTGGCCTGTTTTCACTAATTCAACATGGAATCGCCAGCTGTGATAGTAAGAGCCTGTTAAATCTTCAGTTCTGCAGAGACTCTTAGTGGGACTTGAGCCTTTTTGGGGTAGTTTAAATCTGAGTAATACGAGTGGGAGAGGGCCAGGTGTGGTGGCTCATTCTTGTAATCCCAGCACTTTGGGAGGCTGAGGCAGTATTGCTTGAGCTTAGGAGTTAGAGACCAGCCTGGGCAACATAGGGAGACCTTGGCTCTACAAAATTAAAAAAGAAAAATTGTAACCTTATCAAGAAGAGTGTACTTTTCATTCTCCTGAAAGCTGGAGTAACAATTGTAGATAATAAAAAAATATACTTACTAAGGTACTAAGGCTTGAATGCCTATTTTATGCTGGATGCCTAATTCAAATAGGTGTTAAAGCTGGGCGCAGTGGCTCATGCTTGTAAACCCAGCACTCTGGGAGGCCGAGGCAGGTGGATCACTTAGCTCAGGAGTTCAAGACCAGCCTGGCCAACATGGCAAAAACCCCATCTCTACTAAAAATACAAAAATTAGCCAGGCACAAGGGTGTGTGCCTGTAGTCTCAGCTACTTGGGAGGCTGAGGCAAGAGAATCAGTTGAACCTGGGAGGTGAAGGTTGTAGTGAGCCGAGATTGCACTCCAGTCTGGGTGATGGAGCGAGACTCCACCTCTAAATAAATAAATGAGAAAACTAAGGTTTAGGGATTGTTAAACTAACTTCCTGAGGTCATACTGCGAGTAAGCGGTGGAGCCAGGATGCAAATCCATTGACTCCGAAGTCCATGCTCATCATACTACACTAAAGAAGACACTAGGAATGGTGCTGACGGCAAAAGGCTCACTGGGGGTCAGTGGGAAGAGCAAGTAATGTCAGCATTTTAGCATTACCAAAGGGACTGGCAGGGTCACTGTACATCTCAAGCTATGGCAGTGAACTTCCTATAGGCCCAGCTCAGAATCTCTTGCCTGACAGCAAAAACAGGAATGGATTATGATGTGACAAAAGTTGGCTTTCAAATTGAGGAATCCTCAATATACTGAAATACTTGTGGCTTTGTGAAGACCCTGTCTCCTGTGCAGAAGGTCACATCAATCTTCTAGCATGTTCTAGGCATGTCATTTTAAGTAGAGTAGGAGGAGAGTGAGTTGAAAATCTAAAAGGATCATACTACCTGAAATACTGACACTTTAAAAAACTGATGGTAATGGCCAGGCTCTATGCAGATGATGAAGAGACTAGCTTATTGTGTTATCACTCTGGGTAGAAAGACTTGCATAGAATCACAAAATCAAAATATTTATTTTGTTCTTTTGCATATGACACTGTTAAAACATTCCTACTACAGCAATACTGCTCTCCAGGAGCTTACAATCTAAAACAGTCAATATTAATTGTAGACCCAGTAATTAAGGCATTATATCAAATGCAGACTTTGTATCTTTTTTTTTGAGACAGAGTTTTGCTCTTGTCGCCCAGGCTGGAGTGCAATGGTGCGATCTCAGCTCACTGCAATCTCCACCACCTGGGTTCAAGCAATTCTCATGCCTCAGCCTCTTGAGTAGCTGGGATTACGGGCGCACACCACCACACCTGACCAATTTTTGTATTTTTAGTAGAGACGGGGTTTCACTGCATTGGCCAGGCTGGTCTTGAACTCCTGACCTCAGGCGATCTGCCCACCTCAGCCTCCCAAAGTGCTGGGATTACAGGTGTGAGCTGCTGCACCCGGCCCAGACTTTGTATCTTTTGATGTATCTTCTGAAGAAGCAGCTGGAGAGGGCAGGATTAAAATTAAATGACATGAAAGTGTACTCCCCTCCGCCTGTGCCTTATAAGGAACCCCTTGTAACTAGAACCCAAGACCAGTACCCACAGCCTGAAGGGGAATTTCAGACAACCCTACCATAGAAGTAGTGAAGAAACCTTAATTTCTAATCTGGTGGATACAGTGAGGATTCCATTTGTGGGCAATGGGGATACTGGGTGTTCCTCCATCACAGACTAGAGACAGCACCTAAGATTCTGTAACTCTGGGGATGGTACCAGTCTTATAGAAATTCCAGTGGGGCACCTGCCTCTTGAAGCAGACTTAAAGTCTCTAACCGGTTTATAAATACCAATTTCTGGTTGGTATTTATATCCACAGCATAGCATTGTTTACTGCATGAGAGCTAGGGAGATTTAATACACTAGACATATGAGATTAAAAACTGAAAGAAAAGGGAAAGGACAGCAGAGTAAGGGGCCAAAGAAATGGTGATGTAGTCTTCTAATAGATGTGAATGGAGAAGGAGGAAGAAGTTTAGATCCAAAATGAACAAAGAAGTGAAGCATTAAATTCCAAATGCAGGTATACAGAAATGAAAAGTCAATGAAATCATTGTATTATCACAATCCACGAGCTCAAGATGAAATTTAAGCTTTGAGCTTTGTTTTTCTCCTTCAGTAGCTTCATCCTTTGGCAGCTAGTCTAAGAATCTCTGAAATTCGTTTTTCAGGAGATTATCCTTAATACCTAAAGACCTAATCCAAACTGATATTTCTGTGAATTTCAAAGTCATAGTATTTTGTCTTAACTGGCCTTGAATTTTCTTTTGTTGCTGAGACAGGATCTTGCTTTGTCACCTGTGCTGAGTGCAGTGGCGTAATCATGGCTCACTGCAGCCTCAACCTCCTGGGCTAAAGCAATCCTCCTCAGCCTCCCAAGTAGCCAGGACTACAGGTGTGCACTACCACACCCAGCTATTTTTTTTTTTTTTATAGAGCTGGGATCTCACTATGTTGCCCAGGCTGGGCTCGAACTTTGGGACACAAGCCATCCTCCCACCTTGGCCTCCCAAAGTGTTGGGATTATAGGCGTGAGCCATTGTGTCTGGCTGGCCTTGCTTTTACCTTACTGATAAGGTTTTGCTGCTGGGAGGGTATTCTATAGCAGTTCATGCTGAGATTTCTAGAGAGCACCAGAGTCACTACTAACTATTGATTCCTATTTATTACGCATGGTTTTATGATTTCTTGGCTTAAGACAACAGGCTGTATTATACCTTTGTGTTGGACTTTGTCAGTACCTGTTATTCACTCTGCTCATGCTAAGTATCATCATTATAAGGGGATGGAATGAGAGAAAAGCACAAGGCTCTAAATGTTGGTTCTTGGATTTTAACCTCAATCCAGAGGCCCATAACCCTCTCTTGGTTCAAAGCCATACAAGTACACATTCCTTGCTCTCCAATATTTAACTGGCACCCATGGAGAAAGTACAAACTTCAAAACCACAACACAGGCCAACAGAATATCTGTGTTTTGTTTCCTCTGCCCTGAGGCACAACTGGATCTAGCACCAAGGAGGGCAGGATTTAACAACCGGCACAAGACAAATCAATTTATAGAGGTAGTTTGGACTGGGAATAAGACTGCAGTGTAGACTACAACTGAACAGAATAAAAATCCAATGTGATTCTTCATTGAGAACAGGGGTTCTGGCCACTTGTAATTAACCCCCCACGAATAACAAAGATGGTTATATGGAAAATGAGGATCTGCTTGGTATGAGCACAGTTGTTGGAGCCTGAGGAAAATCTGACCATCAGCAAACTAGGTCTTTCCAAAGAGGAAGCTGGGCTTTTGCCCCTCTGGCCCGTGACTGGTAGATTTACACTGCAGATCAAAGGTCTCTCTCAACAATCAAACTACTTCCAAGAAACCACAGACCTTTAAAAATAAGGACTAGTGACTTCACATAGACTAGTAAAAATACTTTGGCTAAAGCCCTTCACGCATGTGTGCTTGGGTACACATACACACAGGTGGAGGTGAAAAAAAGAATGATTAGGTATTGGTCAGTAGTATTTACCAAGTGAGTTAAGTCCAGACACACCATCTACCAATCAGCAATTCAAATTTCCATGCTCAATACCAAGCAGCCCAACCTACAAGGAAATTACTTCCTTAGCTTAACGCAGAGATTCTCAAAGTGTGGTCCCCTGTAACATCAGCAGGAACTCAGAAGTGCCAATTTGGGGGCTTTTTGGTTGAGGCCCAGCAACCAGTGGTTTAACAAGCCCTACAGATGATTCTGATGCACACTAAAGCTTGAAAATCACTTATTTTAGAGGCAGACATGCGAAAACAATAACGGGAAAAATAATTCAAACTCTTTTGCTTCACTTCAGCTGGGACAAACCAAGGTATCAAAGCAAACTGCGAATGGTTTTATTTTAAAATACCTATTTCTGTTTTCTCAAATTGATTGTCATTTTTTTGATTGGCAAGTTCATGCTAATCAAAGTGTTAAGTGGGAATGCAAGTGGATGAGTCAGCCATCCAAGAATACACACTCTGCAAGCTCTCAGTGTGTTTAGTGTCAAACCATCCCTCTG